GGGGCGCGGGGGGTGCTGCGGATGTGCTGGGAAGAAGCTAAAAAGAAGTTTTCAGCATACAGCAGTTTTGTTTTGTGGCCAGCGCCTTCCTCTCCTCGTGACATGATAAATTCCAGAACAATCTGTTCCGACTGGGGCTTGGGGACAGAGACCAGGCTGACCCCGGCGGGCGGCTGAGGGCGGGCGCGGGGATGCCCCGTGAGGTCGGAGGTCGGGCCCGCGAGGGAGAGCACGCCCGTTTCTCAGGAAATACGCAAGAACCCAGCCGAGAGTCCAGTCCTCGGCTCCGCCCTGCTCACCGTCCCCTGGGACTCCGCACCCAGGGGCTCCTGGCATGGCGGGGGGACGCTCTGAAAATGGGGTCCGAGCCTCAGGCCTCAGCCTGCCGGCAACGCACATGCACGCGCGCGCACACGGCTTTGCACTCCGCTTTGGGGTTCACCGACGCCCCCACGGAGCCCCTGACCGAGGTGCACTCAGGTCCGCCACCGGCAGGTGGGACCTGACCCTTTGGGGCCGGCCACCTCGGGCCCCCGAAGCCCGCTGTCCTGCCGGAGCGACTTGGGGCTCCCGGCCTCCGCTCTGGGCCCAGGCCCACGCCCCCTGGCGCCGGCAGGCGGCCCTCCCCGCGCCTCCCTCCGCCGGGCACACACACAGTTAATCCTCCCAGGCTGCTGTTTGGATGAAGGCGCGGGAGGCTGCTCACATCTGGCCGGGCTGTGCCTCTGCGCCGTCCCGCTTTCTGCTCTCTCCGTCTCTTCCTTTACTCTCAGACACGGCGCTTCCGCTCTGGCAGAGGGACCTGGGGCCAAGGAGGTGAAGGTGGGGGGTCACCGCGCCTGACCCCCCAGCCCCCCGGGGCCGGGCCCTGCTCCCACCTCGCTCTTCCCGGCCGGCCGCAGGAGGCTCCGCCGCGGGAGATGCTCTAGGGGTGGCCGGGGGACGCGTGCGCCCCGCTCCAGCTCCCGGACGACAGCCGAGGTAGGGGGCCGAGGGGGGGCCGGCAGGACCCCGTTGTCTTCGAGGTGCCAGCCTGGCGGCGGGAGCGGACACCTTTGCGGCGGCCGGCCCAGTAGGAGGGGCCAGGAGGGCAGCTGTGGCCAAGAGAGAGCCCCGGCGTCTGGGCAGCGTGGAGGCGCCCTGACCGGGGCGGAGGAGGGGCTCTGCGGACTGGCGCTGTGGGGGATGAGGGCCCCTGCTCTCGGTGGGCTCCCCTCTTCCCCGGGGCAGGGACAGGATGGTGCCCAGCCTCTCGGCCCCGGAGGCAGCCCCCCCAACCCCAAATCCTCGCTGGACCGGCCTGCGGCCAGCTCGGTCCCCACGCACACCGGCAGGCTGACTGCCCGCAGCTCCTCCTGAGGAGGACCGGCCAGGACAGGCGGTCACGCCGCCCCTCCGGGCCCTGGGCTGCCGAGTGGCCGCGGGAGGAGGGCGGCCGCG